AAAAAAAAAAAGAAATGTAAAAGGTAGGAGTACTTACTCACTGTGCCACAAAATCACTCAAAGTATGGCACAAAATTTGGAACATTTCATCATCATTGATTTTTTATGTATTAGGTATCTATACTGTTACTGTGAGAAATGTCACAAAGGATGCTCAGCTAAGCTATTCACATCTTCCAATGTACAGCAGGGCTAAACATGATTAAATAAAAGCTAAGGGGTATCGTGCAATGTCATATGACAGTGAGGTAGGTACTGGAACAGCTAAAAACTTTGCCTCTTCATTACGTAAGACATGTGATTAGGGCAGTAGCCATTTGTAGCAGAGACTACTGGTATCTCCATATCTACTTTCCTTTTCTTTGTTAGTTACAAAACCCTGTATTTTTTATTGGGCCAATGGCCACCTTCAATAAAGGCTTCATTTCCCAGCTTCCCTTACAACCTGGGATAGCCATGTGACTACATTCTGGCTAGAGATATTAAGTGGAGTGTCTGGAAAGTGTCTTTAAAGGGATGAGTGTTCCCTTCTTCCATTCTTCCTCTTTCTGGCTGGAGTTTGGACCATGAGATGAGATGAGTCAGAGGGAAGGATCCCAGGTTTCTGTGCATCATGGTGCCAGCACATGAGCCTTGGACAGCCCTTGGTTCTTAACCTGTGAGAGAAGTAAACTCCTATCTTGTTTCAGCTCTTGTTGTTTTGTGTTTCTCTGTCTTTTATAGTTTTAATCTAATCCTAACTTATATACCAGTTCTTCCCAAAACAGTGACATAAAGATGATGGGAACCATGTGGGTATAGCAATGACAGTGAATATTTTTGTAGACACATTGAGTCTCTTTTATATTTAAGTAGTGATTGAATTTTACTTATTGTTAACTTGTTTTTTTATTGGCTATGTTGTAAAATCTTTTCAAGGAGCAAGCAATTATTTAATCTTTAAAATTTCTGCAAGCAAGCAAATTGAGATCCACTAGAGTGAGGAAGAAGATAATAATCCCTCCACTGCGTGTGTGTTTCCTTCTGTCTGTCTCCTATCATACATTTAAAAGTTGTCTTAGGAGCACCGGATTATGGATGTTTTCTGATTTTTGACCTTGTAGAGGTTGCCGTTAACATGCTCACTATGGCTAATCTAGACAATTGGAGGAAAAATGCCAAGCAGTTTCCAGCCTGTTAGCTGCAAAAAACAGTGCATATTTTTCAAGGTTGTAAGTTTTCAAGGTTGTAAGACAGTGATATGCCACAGTAATGCTTATGTTGTAAGTTTTCGTGACCTGATTTCCCATCTCTGTGAAGTTCTTTCATTGGCGTCTACTTCTTAGCTCCCCTGGGCATTGGAAATTTGGGTAACCATGAAGCTAAACCATTGTCCAAGAAGAGCCACCAGTTTCTTTTGCCTATAAGAAATATAACACACTGTGGAGAAGTATGCCGAAACATATAGAGCCCATTAGGTGAGGTTCTGGAAGGGAGAATTAGGGGCTGGATATGGTGCCATTTCTATCTTTTTCTTTTGTCCGTGCATTTTGAACTATTTTGCATTTGAAGGAATCTATGAAGACTTTTTTTTTTTTTTGTGAGGAAGATCAGCCCTGAGCTAACATCCATGCCAATCTTCCTCTTTTTGCTGAGGAAGACTGGCCCTGGGGTAACAACTGTGCCCATCTTCATCCCCTTTATAGAGGACGCCTGACACAGCATGGCCTGACAAGCAGTGCGTCGGTGCATGCCCGGGATCTGAACCCAGGTCGTCAGCAGCGGAGCGCGCGCACTTAACCGCTAAGCCACAGGGCAGGCCCCTCTGAAGATGTTTAATAGGCTGCAGATTATTAAAGGTAGCTCACAGATATGGTTCTGTAGCAGGCCTCTTTTATTTTAAGAAATTTAAAATAGAATTTTATTGGATTATAAAAGTTAACATATATTCATTCTAGACAAATTTAGAAGTCATCATTAACCCAAAGGTCAAAAAAGTTCACCATCCATAGTTCTACCACTCATCATAGTTAAGTTTTTGCTATGAATTCTTCTAGCCGTTTTATCTAAAAATACACATGTAACCCAGATGTCAACTGGGCTATTACCTTTCAAGCAAGAGCTGGTTAAATTGGACTCAAGCACCAATTCCATATCTGTAAAGTACAGATTCCCATCTGCCCTCACCACCCCTCCAACCAGGAGTTCTCAGGTTTCTTAGGGCTGACTTCCTCATGTTTCTCTCTGTTTCCACGCCTCTATGGCCTCATCTGGTGGCTCAGGATTCTAGGTACAATATTTAGCTGCAAAGCCAAATCCCTTTGTGCATTTCTGTAAAAAATCCACACATTTAAGTATTTTATGACTATATTTCCTTTACTGAAGATTTGGAGGGGGTCATATTTTGAAGAGCGTCTCTAGCCATAATTTTGGCTCCTCTTTCCCTAGGCCTCCCTCTCTAGACTACTAAATATCTTGCACCTATCCGTAACAGAACTGTTATACCTATATTTACTCCTCGCTTTTTCTCCAAGTAGTTTCCCAAACTAATGCAGTTCCTTTCCTGAGGATGGTTAAAAATTTTAACCTGTTTAAACCTTTACACATCTATAGTTACAGTTTAAACCAAAATGTTTAAACTCACACTGTACATGTTTTTATAACAACTTCAATAATTATAGACTATATTGTGAAAAATTTCTTCATTATTATGTGTTACTCCACAACATCACTTTTAGGAGCTGTTTGTTGGTTATTACTTCAGTGCACCATCATCTATCTAATGAATTTCCTATTATTAGAAATTAGTTTCTCATTTTGACTGTTATGAAAAAACATTACATTGCACATTCTTGTACACATGAAAAGAAAAGAGACAGAAACTTCACGTACTTCAAAGACTTCAAAGACAGCTTGAGGATTCAGATGTTAAGGGCCACCCAAGAGAGAAGATTTGTAGATTTGGGTGAAAGGCTATGCATAGTTTTAAGCCTTTTGGTACATATTTCCAGTTTGCCCTCCAGAAAACTTTGACCATGACCTACTCGTATGTCATGGCAGTGCACGTTTCTCTGAGCCTATATTACTATGAGGATTTGTCAATTTGCCAATCTAAAAGGCAAATATGGCATTCCATTTTTAAAGTGTTTTTCTCATATTACAAGTGATATAAACCTTTTTCTATGTTTATTTGACTGTTTCCATTTTGCTTTTGTAAATTATTTTTTCATAATTCTTTATCATTTTTCTACTTGGGTATTTACTTTTTATAATTGATGTATAAGAGCTATTTTGATATTTTTCCTATTTGATGTTAATCTTTATTTTTGTATGTTCAAAGGTGTTTTTTCTTGTTATTCACTTTTGTCAATCTTGTACATAGTAGAATTTTTCCTTGCTATACGCCTACAGAGGTTTCAAATCAGAAACATATTTGCTTAAATATTCATCTAGTTCCTTTATAGTTTTATTTTTAACATTTAACCTTTAATCTGTACAGACTTTTCTTTGGTGTATGACATGAGGCAGGGATCTAACTTATCATTTCAGATATTTGCCTTATATATGAGTAATTCAGGTTTTCCATGCCTTGAAATGCCATGTTTACCACTGCCACATTCTTACAACAACTTGTGCTATTTCTTGGGTTCTGCGTTTTGCTCTATGGATCTATGTCTCTATTCCTGCATCATATCAATTATTTTATTCTTTGAAATAAATTTTAGCATCACTTCGGTTTTGTAATATGTTCTGGTAGTAAACACCCCTTTTGTTACTATTTCAGGAAGTTCTGTTCATCAGTCACATGACATTTAGAGTCATTTTGTCAAATTAAAAGAAGAATGCCATTGGAACTCTGGTTGGAATGACATTAAATATGCATACTAATTCCAAGATAATTAACATCTATGCAACACTAAGTCCTCTTCTAAATAAAATTTTTATCTTCCATTTCTTCAAGCATTTTTTGTCTCCCAAAAAAGTGTTTAAATCTTCTACTTACATGTCCTACATAATTCTTGTTAAATTTGTTTCTAGATGATTTTGCTGCTTTTGTGAATGGTATTTTTTCCCACTATATCCCGCTTGGTTGTTAATTATATAAAGAAAGTAACTAATTTATGAATATTTATTTTTTACTGGACATCTTACTAATATCTCTAATAGGGTCTGATAATTATTTAGTTAATTCCTTTAGGTTTTCGGGTAAACATTCATCAGCTAATATAATAACTTTTTCTTCTCTTTCTCAATATCTATTTATAGAGAGATCTGTCATTTTATTAGTTTGAAT